AAATTACTAATCTTCTCCATGCTATAGAGACCAAGGTTGGATATCTGTACAAGGAGACTAGTGGTGGGTTGCTAACCGGTTTACTACCAGTTCGCTCGTGCAGATGCGTGCGCGTGCAACACTTCTATGCATGCGCAGAAGTGTCCGGGTGGGTGGGCGGAGCCTATCACCGCTGCCACTAACAGTTCAGCTGAACCAGGGCGAACCGGCAGCAACCCACCTCTGATGGAGACAAGTGTAAACATTTGAAGCTCACCTTCTAAGATGGCTGCCTTAAAGTAAAAATAAAACAGGAGGAGATCTGTCTTACTGCTGTGATTTAACTGGTGCTTTCTCCCTAGGGGGAGGAGTGGGGAAGGGATTCTCTGTGCTTTGAAATGGAAGAAGAGAGGAGACAGACAAGTTCGCTCCCAGAGGAATACCTTTTCCTGAAAAGTTGATGTAAACAGGCAGCTGCAAGAGACTCTATTATGAGTGAAAGATCCTCCCCCTTGGCAGATCCCAGGGAGGCTCTTAGATACAAAACTAAGGACTCACCATACATATAGGGATAGATAGGCTCTAAATGAGAAACAGTTGAACTGCCCAAATTATGGAAACCATCTCAATCTTCTCAATAAATCTTGCTAAAGAAGAACTCTGCAAACTGCAGGTAGTCCTCGACTGTTACAATGACACTGAAAAAAAAATGACTTATGGCTGTTTTTCACATTTATGACCGTTGCGGCATCCTCCTAATCATGTAATCAAAATTAAAACGCTTGGCAACTGGCATGTACTTATGACAGTTGCAATGTCCCGGGGTCGCACGATCACCTTTTGCAACCTTCTGACAAGCCAAGTCAATAGGGAAGCCAGATTCATTTAACAATCATGTTACTAACTTAACAACTGTCGTCATTCACTTAAGAACTGTGGCAAGAAAGGTCATAAAATGGGGCAAAACTCACTTAACTACTGTCTCACTTAGCAAGAGAAATTTTGGGCTCAATTGTGGTCCTAAGTCCAGGACTAGCTGTACATTTCTTCATTTGTAGAGAAAGAAAGATGGCAGAAGGTAATAGGAAGGCCCTCAAGCTTAGATAGGAAATTAGTTTCTCAAATCTTCCCCGAGTGCCTTAACCCATCTGCTCTTGTCACCTTATCAGCTGTGGTGTCTATTTTTATCTGGATATTTGCACTAGGGCCACAAAGAACAAGCTTGGCTCCTTCCCTCCAGGGAATCGGTGTCAGTCTGAGATCTGGTGCCCACTTTGGGAAGGTTTACTTCCAGAAATAGAACAGGAATTCTTGACTTAACCATTTCTTGCCTGGCATGGATTGTCTCAATGACTGCAGGTTTGCAATCAGCCCATCTGGCAATCCCTATTTTGTTATTCCAAAGTCATTTACTCCAAATGGAGTTTAGGACTCATCAGTGGGCAACTTTAGAAGTTTATATATTAAAATTGCAGGCCTCATCTTTTGTTACTAACTTACTTTCTCTATACTATTTAAAAAATGTATTGCTTTCAATAATTATTAAAGAATTTGGGGGGGGGGAGGCAGCACCGTAGCACAACTTTGTTTATCCCGGTGGCAGAAAAACGTCACCTTCCTTCCTGCCTTCCTGCAAAATTGTGATCAAAACAGGAAGTTTTTCTGACTTTAACTCTTGCAAGGTAATTTGAGATGATTTTAGTAATCCTACTAAATGGAGTAAGGAATGGGTATATTGGGAGACTATAAAAAGTAATGATTGCTACTGTAATTAGGAACCGTGTGATATTTTCATGATAAATAAAGGTACTACTGTGCAAGATTTCATGGACCACAGTCCATGTGGGATAATGCATGTGGTGAAATTTTAGGACTGTACGAGAGTCTACCCTGGTTTTAATGCAAGGGAATAAAAGGCGGGATCGAATGCTTACAAAGTGTTGTTTTGTTATTATTTTGTTTACCATTGAAGAACACAAAAGAAGGAAATGGAAAACTGTGGAAAATGAAAAATGGGTTTGGCCTTGATCCGTAACTTCATTTTGAATGGAAACTTATCTAATCTTTATACTTTAAGATGCAATCAGCTCCTCTCTTTTTCCCCTACCTAAAAGGGGCTGAGGAAAAGTCCTGCCCGTTTGGTATCGGGATACCCAGGGAGCTAAATCTGCTCCTCCCCCTGAAAATCCCAATTCACAAAATCCAGGTCATGGTGTCTATGAGGTGCCCCTGCCCACACCTGCCTGCAGAACTTCTGCTTGACCCAGCTGGCAGACTAGCAGCTCAGCTCTTCTGTCCCCTCAGGGGTTTTTGGTGGGTTTTGCTGGCCTCTTCCCTCCATCCCCCTGCAACCTTTAAACCCCATAAAGGGAAATATATGAGTAGGAACCAGCCACAGAGCTGCATCTTGTGAGGTTCAGCCGTTGGAAGTGAATGGTCCAGAGGCGAACGTTTTGCCCAGTGCTGAAGACTAAAACAATTTCATTACTTTTCAATAGACTCATGTCTATTGAGCCTGGCTTAATTTGGAACGAAAACTGGAGGCAACTATGGGATTTAATTCCAGCTGGAAATCATATTGTATAACTCTCCCACCCACCTACAGAGGCCTCATGTATAGATTTTTACATGGGATCTAAGTGAACCTGCCCTTTGTTTGACATTTTCTTCAGTTTTCCCATAACAGGAGTACAGTGGTTGGACTTTTGGAAAGGAACCCCCAAGATAATGGTCTAACGTAAATCCCAACTGCCACCACAGTGACTTTTCCAGCCATTATCGTATTTCATGCCACCATTTCGGGTTGCTGCTTTTGGGTGAAATCTCCATGTATCCTCCCTTAAGTTTTTAGAGGAAAGGAGGAATACTAATGGAAGAAATCAAAAGGAAATACAGAAAGGCTTACAATGATTTTTTTAAAAAAATATATAGGTAACATTTGGATGTTTTGTGCGTACCAGGGGTGGGTTTCAACCAGTTCGCGGCGGTCCCTGCGAACCGGTTGGTCGGCGAACCCGGAAGTAAGTAACTTCCGGGAACGGCGAAGGGTCCACCCACCCGCCCACGCTCCTTACCTGATTTTGACGAGTTCTGCGCTTCCACGCATGCGCAGGACGCATACAGCGCCTGCGCAATCCTCCAGGAGCAGCTGGAGCATCGCACAGATGCTAGTACGCATGCATGCGCTGCGCATGTGCACGTGCGTGCACACGCACGCTGCACACGTGTGCGA